CACCTACGTCACATGTCGCTGAAGAAGTCATAGCGGAAGTTGTTTAAAGGTATCAAGTCACATTCTTAGGACTAAGAAGTATTTTGAGAATTTGTGTACAAAAACGAAAGAGACAAAGAAAAGCTAAATTGATTTCCTTAAGGGGTTTAAAGATGACTTAACAATTTCTTCTCTAAATGCCAACCCCATCAGAGTTGAGCTGCAGTGGACGAAGCTGTATTTTGCTAGGGAATGCTCCACTCCTACTAGATGTATTGGAGTAGTGGATTTTCATTGACTATTTATTTATTTTAGGTAGTACGTGTTGGATGTAGACGTGGTAGAGCCTCGCTACAGTTATATTATGGTTGTATTACGAATTAATTGGCTCGATCGGGGGAGGACTGCGATCTCACAAAATATCAGCGTGAAATATCATATTAATGCTGTTGTGTTTCGTATGGTGAGAGTAGTAAAATTGGGAAGGAACATTCCATTTTATTCCTCAGAGAGACAACGCATTTTGCATCGATTCTTAATCGAGAATACATGTCTATGGGCCACAGCATCTACATCAGATGGACTGTGTAGTCGTCACCCTTATCTATACAAATAAATAAAATTGAAGTGTCTGTTTGTAATGTTAAAATAACAGCTTTTTACTATATGCATATGAAAGTATATACGGTACTAATAATAAAAAACAGATTTTAATTTTTTTTGTCTGTCTGTCTGTTGGTTCCGACTAATCTCGAAAACGGGTATACCAATTTTGACGGGACTTTCACTGGCAGATAGCTGATGTTATAATGAGTAACTTAAGATATTTTTATTTTAGAAAAAGAATTAAATTACTGCAAAAAAAATTAAAACCCATGAAATTGTTGTAAATTCTACGCGGGCGATGTCGCGGGGGACAGCTAATTTAATATAAACAAAATTGTGTATTTTCTTAATGCGTTCTTTTTGTTGTGTAAAAATGTGAAACTAGTTTTGATATTTTAAATGACCCATTTTTTTTAACATTTTCACGGCTTGTTAAAATATACATACACGCTACTCACGTGTATCAAATAACTACCTTGTGTTATCATACGGTCTTAATTAAGGAATAAGTTACATCACTTAGTACCAAGTTTGCAATCTCCAAATAAAATTTATTCATAGTATAAAATACAACATAAGCAAATTAAAGATTACATAGTTTATACATTTAAATAAAATGTTCAATTGTTTCGCTTTTATATTAGTTGGGTTATAATTTATTTGATGTACATATCACTTTTATCTGTCTATTTAACAGTAGCCCTTAATCACTTCAATTGTTCCATCTTGCGTGACTAAAGTTTACGTCGACATAAACAAAATAAGCGGATTTCCGCATATACAATCAATTTGATTCACAGTCCTAAAAATAATTATTTCCCTTTATTTTTTAAGTTTCCTGTCTTGCGCGATTAAAACCTGTATAGAGGTAAACAAAAGAGGCGGACTATTCTGTACAGTCAAGGCCGCATTCACTTCACAACGATTCGATTTACACGTTTCTTTGTAGATTTAATCACGGCAGCTGCTACACGCAATGTAATAATGATGTTATTACCGCTTAGTCGCTTAGTTATATTCGATTTATGCTGGTAAGTTCGTAGTGTTGGTAGCTGGAACTTGTGTAACTAAAAGCTGTTCGAGCCCTTTTACTGGTAACAAGGCATTCCATCTTAGTCCTGAGGAGTGACGATGCATCTGCATAATCACTCTTAACCGAGGATAAATGTAGATTGCTACGCGCCACAGTATCCACTTACCATCAGGTTGACTGTGTGCTTATTTCTATACAAAGGCGGGCCGGTATTGCATGATGCAATACAGTACGTGATGGCCTGCTCCTTTCTTCTATAACGAGAACTGAAGACCACTTTTTTCTGGTACAGACGTATTCCATCTAACTTAGTTCTTAGGTAAACGCACCGCTGCACTATGGCAGCACGAATAAAAAAGGGCTGCATCCTCACAGAGAACTGTCGTAATATAGCAGCATAATACAGCTTTGTTTTATACGGTTAACAAAGAGAACCGGAGACCCTTTTACTGGTAACGTGGCATTCCATATTAGTTACAACGTATCTTTATTTTTAAACTTAATCGAAGATATATTTACGTGGTAGAGCCATACTGCAGCTATATTAATAGTATAGTTGTAGCACGAATGGGTCGGCTCGACCGGGGAAGGACCCTATTATACTATTTTACGCTGGTATTCTATCTAGGTATACCATCGTAAAATAGCAACCTAATGCTGCTGCGTTTCGTATGGTGAGTGTAGAGAATCGGAGACCCTTTTTACTGGGAAAGAGGCATTCAATCTTAGTCCTCACGGGTGACAACGCATTTGCATTTTGATTTGTAATCGAGGATAGATGTAGATGTCTATGGGCCGCAGCACCCACTTACCATCAGGTGGACTGTGTGCTCGTTTGTCACCCTATCCTATAAAAAAAAAACAATTTTACTGGTAACGAGGCATTCCATATTAGTTACAACGTATCTTTATTTTTAAACTTAATCGAAGATAGATGTTGGTGTGCCTAGGCTGTAGCCTAGTAACCGCGGCTACTTACTAGGCTGTAGCCTAGTAAGTAGCCGCGTAAGCGGATGATGTATCATCCGCTTACGGATATGGGTTGTCTACTCTCTCCCCGTTAGAGTTTAACGAATTGTGTTACAACCATAACATGCTGTTATACAAAATATCTCGAGAAAATGTGAGAAATTTATCGACAAGTATTTAAATTGAGTCAGCACGGCGGATTCTATCTTGCTCTTAAAACTCTGTCAATATTGAAAGGAAGCCAGTGTCCGGCTATGGGATGTATGTATATAGGCTGTTATATTTTTAAACAACACTAACGTATTTAATACTTGCTGGAAATAGGTATACAAAAAAAGAAATAGAACGATTAATCTTTACGCGCGGTTGAAATTAAGCTTAGAAATAAAAGTAATTATTTCAGTTAATTCATTGTTATTATTTATTTATTAATTTTGATTTAAGGGGTGGGCCATTTAAGATTTGGAATTTGAGTCAGCTATAAAAAAAAAAACGAATGAATATTTTTTCATAGTTATGAGTTTACTAATAGGTTCAATCTTTATAAATAAAAAATGACTTTCAATAAGTATTATGTAACAATCAATATTAAATAAAAATAATTCTATTCTATTAATTCAAGAATAAAAATAAAAAGATTGAACCTTTCCATTTAGGAACGGAAGATAACAGCCTAGCCTTACAATACGCCAGTCCAATTTTTCAGTATTTTTAGATTGTTTGGGCCTCTATTTCGTCAATGGCAACCACGATTTCATGTGTCAAGTCGTCATTCGTCTCTGAATATATAGGGTAACACTTGTCCTTATCGGCTCACCACAAAAAAAGTCCAACGGAGTCAAATCGCAGCTTCGAGGTGATCAATTGACATCAGCATTTCGGCAGATTATGCGATTTTAGAAAACAGTGCGCAAAAGATCTAATATTGCGTTGGCTCTGTGGCATGTTGCGCCGTCTGTTGAAACCAATGACATTTGGTTATACATATGTCATCCTCTTCAATTTTGGGAAATAAAAAAAAAACGATTCGCATGGCGCGGTAGCGATCGCCAGTCTGTGTCTCTTTGCTCATTTTCGAACAAAAATGGCTCAATAATGACACCAGACCAAAATCCGCACCAGACAGTCACTTGTCGTGGATGCATTCGTTTCTCTACGATGACGTGTGGATTTTCTGAACCGCAGATACAACGATTTTGCTTATTGACGTATCCTTCTAGGTGGAAATGAGCTTCATCTGAAAAGATGATTTTTCGGTACAAATGCTCATTTCCGATCAAACGGTTTTCGGCCCATTGAGCAAACCGAAAATGCATCGGATGGTCATGCGGCTTGAGCTCTTGCACTAATTGAACTTTGTTTTTTATTATTAGTATTATTCACATTGAGATCTTTATGCAAAATTCTTCTCCAAGAAGTGCGTGAAATGTTCAATCCTAGAGAACGATGACGAGTTGATATTGATTGGTGTTCACGCACACTCTGAGCAACAGCAGCGATGTTGACGGGTTGTTTTATCCAACAACGATCCATTTTCAGGAACTCTCTTCACAAATTTATCCACAAACTGCGTTTTTGGCACATCCTTTTTGTCAAATTTTTTTCGTAAATTTATTACAGTTTCAGTAGAAGACTCACAACTTTTGAAATTATTTTTAATATTTCCCAACTTTGTTCAAGCGAAAAGCGACCGATTTCATAAATGTCAAACATAAAACTAATTTTCTGTCACATCGGAAATTAACCTTCATCAAACCTTCCAACTTCAAAATGACCTATAGTTCCAATTTCAAACGTTAGATAGCCCACCCTGCATTAATAATAAAAATAAATAATATTAAATAATAATAAATAATTCTTAATAAAATAGTTTTCATCGATACAAAAGAAATAAATATAAATATAATATATAATATCTGAAAAAGTCACTTACAAAGAAGTTTTACTTCAAAAAGTAGAAACATAAACATGAAAAACCCACGCGTTTCCTTTTCGAGGCAAGTTGAGGGTTCGTGCGCGGTGGGCCGGTCTGAAAACCAGTGCCGCCATTATGAGCATATCTTTTATGTAATATGGTTAATACTTCGTTTCAGTTGTCTTTTCCCTGTCGTTACTTTATTTTTTGCGCTTTGTAAGAGGGGGCAAAGGAGTATGCGGCTTATCTGATGGTACGTGACCACCGCCCGTGTACAATTGCAACACCAGAGGAATTGCAAGTGCGTTGCCAGCGTTTTTAAAAAAGAGTAGGGTCTTTTCTTGAAGGTTCTTAAGTCGTATCGGTCTGAAAAAATCGTTGGTGGTAATTGATTCCATAAGGAAGTTGTGCGAGGAAGAAATGTTCGTTTTAGTTTTCGTGTTTTTTTTTTCACATTAAAAAACACATACTAATTAGGCTTAATTTTAATTTTTCCAGGTCATCATCTTTTGCGCGGCGTGGCTTGCCTGCGTCCAGTGCCAGCAGGGTCCGACCACGACACCTGTGCCCATATTAAAACAGATCAACAGACAAAACGGCGACGGCTCCTACAGCTATGGATATGAAGCTGCCGATGGCTCCTTCAAAATTGAGACCAAGTATCCCAACGGAGACGTGGCAGGGAAATACGGATACGTGGACGAGTCCGGGAAGCTGAGGGAGGTCTCTTATGGTGCGAGCAGCAAACGGGGATTTGAGCCTGAAGGTAATAATGATTTCTTATGTTTACGCGAACATTAGACATTAAATGAAACTAGTATTTACGGACTTTAAAGAGTTTACATTCCCGACGTTTCCAGTAGTTTACAGCACCCATGGTCATGGGGTTATGCAAGACGTGCTTTGTGTCATTCCTTCGAGGAGGCCTAGGTTCAGCAGTGGACTCGTGAAGGGCTGTAATGATGATGATGGTCACAGGGGGTCATGAAGAGTTCGCCGTTCCAATGTCATAGTTAACCACATCTACCTTCAGTTTAAAATTATTAGTTTTGGTCCGATCTACGCAGAAAGAACTTATAGTATTTTGAAGTCTTGCACTGGTAGGCTAGGGTTGGGGTTAATTTTATTAATTTTCTGATCCAAATGCAAGCTGCAAGCAGATAATAGCAGCCAGCCGTTCTTCTCTGCTGAAATTAGGTTTCTTTTTTATTCAATAACCTCGCGAATCATCATTGGTAGGAATCAATGTTCTTTTAGGAGGATTTGTGGTCTATCAAATCTGATGTAATGGCGGGGGCGATCCTGTACGTGTTGATGTGGACACGCTCCTTGAAGTCTGGGGTGACAACAAATCCGTTATTAATTCTTAATCGAGGGTAGGTGTGGATGTCTATGGGCCATTGCATCCACTTACCATCAGATGGAGTATGTGCTTCGTTCTCCTTATTTTATAAAAAAAAGCTTGATATTAAAACATAAAGACTATCTCTTTGCGATTCAATTGACCTCTCAAGTGTAAATTAAGAACTATCTGTAATAGGCGTCTTCTACTTTTAAGACTGTGTGCTCGTTTGTCACCTTTATTCTATACAACAATATTTATATAAAATGTGCTAACAATAATAATAATAATGATAAATTTTACTTTATTGTTCACTATAAACAAAAGAAAACGACCACAGGAATGATTTCGGTCTGCCGACCGAAATTATTCCTGTGGTCGTTTCTGCGAACGGGTTAATCCCAGTCAGCCTCTCGGGTCGTCTGAGGCAACTGGGACTCCGTGACGGACCGCTCCAGGCTCAAATGCAGAAGGCGGTGCTCCTCGAAACCGCCCGCATTGCACTGATTGGGTTTTTAATTATTTATGTATTTTTATGTATTTATTTTATTTTATTGATATTTATGTATATTTATATCTTTCGTTTACAATTATATATTTGAACAGCCCAACCAGATTAGAAAAGTTATAGATAATCCAGATAATGATAAATTTTACTTTAATAATAATAATAATAATAATTTATTTGCCAGAAATTTTATCAATAAGGCTAACCTAATAGTTAGCTTTATTGATAAAATCTTAGAAATTTTATCAATAAGGCTAACTATTAGGTCTTTACAATTATTGTTTACCCAAATAATGATCCTATATATTGAAAACAAGATATCCACTTTTATTATCAGAGCATTCGTAGAGAATTGGCGTCATACTAAAATGCCGTAATACGGCCCAGTTTAGCCGGCAGTAATATTTGTTTACCGGTTAGGTAATCAACCTACATGTTGCTTAGGCGGTCAGTGTCATCTAGTGCAAGTGCTCGAAAATTGAAGTTATTTCCTAGCAGTTTAATTCAGTTGTAATTTTATATTATAATAAAAAGTCAATTACGTTGTTGGAGTATATAGGCTAATTGCGTTGCTGCTGTCTATATTGAAATATTAATAGCCATTTGTAAAATTCTACCTCTCTATTCGGACTAATCTTTGGAATGACTGAACTGATTGTAATTAAACTTCACGACATAAAGAGTAATGTCAGGAGTGACCTAGGCTATATTGTATCCCAAAATCTTTAAGTATTTCTTTTTGTAAAATATAAAAAAATATAATATAAAAGGTCATTAACGATTATTAAAAAAAAATCTAAATGATAGATCTCATTCACTCGAAGCCAGGGCAGTTCACTAACATTTAATATAAAAAACCTAACACGAATATATCAAATAAAAATTGCACATTTCAGGTTATGGTATCATGGTACCCCCACCAACGCTCAACGACCCGTCGAATGCTTTAGCTGACGGACAGGAAGACGACGGCCAGTACCGCGAGGACCCCAAGATCTACGAAGACCCGAAGTACAATGGCAGGGCACAGCCGAGGCCATCTTCCGGCTTCAGACAATACCAACAATCAGCTCAGCCCGAGCCCCAGTACCAGTCAGCGCAACAATACCAGCCCGTCCAACAGTACAAACAACCAGCACCAGTTTTCCAACAAAGCCAAACCGCTCAGCAACCCCAGCTTTCTCAATTCCGTTCTCAGCTTTACACACAGTCGAACCTTTTCAACCAAGCCCCACAGCAATTCCCACAATCTCGACCACAAAGCCAAGTCTATCACCAACAGCCTCAGTTCTCCTACCAAGCATACACCCCTCAACCTTACAACCAGAACCAGAACTACCAGGCCGCAAACTATCAACAAGCTTATCAGCCTCAGAGCTACCAAAGTCAAAACTATAATCCTTTCTCCGGCCACCCGGCCCAGAATTTTGATCCCAACACTGGTTCTTACTCCATCAACTTCACTGGCTGATGATTAAATTTTTAATCTGTATTTATATTTTTTTAAACGCATTGTTATATCCAAAGTTAGAAACGAAAACTTTTTGTATTTTTATATATTTAGAACTAGTCAATAGCTTTTCAGAATGTTTGTTATACGGAAAATCAATAGAAATTTTAGCTTTACTTAAATTATTTGTGAGTAGAATATAATATATACAATATCATCGCCTCCTACGTTGTGTTGTAAATATATTTTAATAATTAATTATAACAATTATTTTTGTATATACTCGTGTCTTGTATCATATATTTTTCTGACTCGTATTTTTTATATTAATATTTTATGATGTATTTTTTTTTATCCAATCCAAGACGAGGTAAATATAGTATAAGGCCTACCTGATGTATGTATATAAGGCTTGTTAAAAATATACAACAATAAAATTGAATTATTTGTGTATTAAAAAACAAATGTTGTATTTGTATATTTATAAATAACAATATTTGTTTGTTATTATTACTGTATATTATTTGTTAAGTATAATACACTATAATCTGCGTTCATGTAGTCCCAACGTTACGTAATTTTGCGGAAACATCAATTAAAGTCCTGCAACTAAAAAGAATGGCGGGCAAGGCACATGCCCCGACTTTAAAATGGCCTACGCATCAGTTATATAACATGGTGCGTGATCAAAGTACGAATTTCGTTTAATAAAGTTATCAAACGATTGGAGCGTTTTCTTTTCCTGGAGTGAAAGTTATCAATAATCGATTTGATTTGGTTTGTTGTTATAAAGCCCTTCATTGAATTTTATATCTATGTGGTAGAGCCACGCGACAACTTTATTGTAGTTGCAGCACGAATGAATCCAACAGTGAAAATAAAGTAAAGTAATATACGTTTTAATTTCATAGAGCCACGCTAAACTATAATATTATGGCGAAGAGTATATAATCAATATTCTATTATGGTTTACAGCAGGGTCGGGTACAACCGGGTAAGAACCACGCTCTCACAGAATACCAGCAAAAAATGAGGTTAATGCTGGTGTGTTAAGTATTGTGAATGTAGAGAGCCGAAGACCCTTTTTACTGGAAATGAATGCCTCGTTCCATATTGTCCTCAGGGGTGACAGCGCATCTGCGGTTTGACTCACAATCGAGGATGGATGTAGATGGACCACAATCAATTTACCATCAGATAAACTGTTAACTGCTCGTTTATCACCTTTATTCTATAAAAAATGTGAATTAGAAGACTGTTATGTGTTAATTGGCCACAGCATCCACTTACCATCAGGTGGCCTGTGTGCTCGTTTGTAATCCATATTCTGTGTTAGAGTTGCGAAACGATTAGTGCAGTGATCATTAATCCATCAGCCGAATTTGGCAACTACTATAACCTTAACTTTATAGAGAGATTCAAGTCTGGCACCTGAATATTTACGGTCTGATAACGATATAGCCAAGAGCATGGAATAAACATGAGGTTTAAAAACATATTAAAATAAAATTAATGTAGCTTATAGTAAAAATGTCGCTTGTTCTCGAAATTTGAACAACTGTGTGGATACAACGATGTGATTGATTTTTCAACCGACTTCAAAAAAGGAGGGGGTACTCAATTGTGTATGTTTTTTATGTGTGTTACCTCATAACTTTTTTCTCGGTGAACCGATTTCGATGATTCTTTTCTTATTTGAAAGGTGGCGCTGGTGCTTTTCATGTGGTCTCATATAAATTTAACCAATGTTTCACCAGTAGTTTTTGAGTTATCCTTAATAATTTATATTGAAGACGGTGGTACAAAATTTTGAATTTTACCACTTGTTGTTTTTAGGTTTCGCCAATTAAGGCAGGCAAAGGTCTTTACTATACAGCCTAGTCGCATGTGTATTTTGTTTACAGAAATCTTCACAACATGCCAATGCGTCACATTGCAAAGTTTTGGTGAGATTTTGACAACGGCTTAACCCAGTTGACAGTTGATGACAATACTATTTGTTTAATCGCGAGGAAATCCTCATGAATATCTTCTATTGCGAGGTCAACGAAAAGGTTATATTGGACTTCTACCAGCTATAACTCCACGGTAGTTACCATCGGCGTATACGAGAGGTCCCGGAATCTCCGTTTGGAACGCAACCGGAGCCCCTCTATCACTTTACTTGACTATTAACGCGTTTCGGAGGTAACATTCCCCCAGCACAATCTCAGTGCTATCACGGTATCTAGGGACCACTTCCGAGAAAAAAAATTGAGATTTATATCGCAATCGAAGCACTATGCTGAACAGCACTGCTGTGTTCCGAGGGCGCAGTGAACCGATATAATATCATTTTTTTATAACTGGCTTTATGGCTCTGGGTTCTAGCCCTTCTGAGTCTGAAGTTACAATGTATATTGTCCTTCATAGTACACTGCTTCACAATATGTTGATGCGACACACTGTGCAGCCCTTGGGAGATTTTAACGGCAAGTTGTGCCAGCAGACAGCTGACAGTTGGCGATGGTATCTCAAGGCGCATAAACAGACAGACTCCTTATCTTGAGAATCACATCACCATCAGAGCAGTTTCCACTAATAGTTCATATGCGCAGCCACTTAATACACGAAATCGCACCACTTTTACATATCAAAATCCACTTCAAACCATTATTTAAACAATGATACAGGAGCAGCAATCCGCCGCCGGTCAAGTTCCCGCCAAAACTCGGTATAATAACAGAATGTGAAGTATTGCAGGTTAGTCTTCAGAGGTGACAAGCTATCAGTACCCTTCTCTGTTTAAGTTGGTTGAAGGTGTACAAAGCTGCAGTAGTCACTTAGCATAAGGTGCACAGCTTCGATTTCAATTTTACTCCATAACTTTATAAATAATTGGTACACTTGCCACCATCAGCCTTTTCAAGGTAAAAGTAAAATAATATTTTTTCAGTTTAACATTTAGGGCGGATAAAATAGCTGAATTATATTTTCATAGCATAATATAAATATCTATATTATTTTATGGTAAATACTCATTATATTATTTATTATATACACCTACTGCATAAATAAAGTAAATCCCATCATTTTTTATTTCTATTATTTTATTTTATTATTTTGATAACGTCTTTCTCGAAAATAGAAATAAAGCGAATAGAATACTATCCTCGCGGGCGAGTCCAACCTCAAGGGGCATTGCTGAAAACCAACGCTACCGCAATTCTACGATAGCATTATGTTGAGTCAGTGCCCTTTTCAGCACCACATCACTCATTCAATCGGATCATTTTATGACTGCTTTTTCTTATTTATTTTTATCTTTGATGTTTTTATGTATCATTTTATTTACTGTATCAAAACTGTATGAGTGTAAGTTGCTGAATAAATGCATGTCTATGTCTATGTCTATGACTTGTCAGGTGGAAATGCGATTCCAGTACCACATGATTCGCACCTCTGATACTACTCGCCGTCACTGGTGACAAACGAGCACACAGTCCACCTGATGGTTAGTGAATGCTGTGGCACACAGACATCTACATCTATCCTCGATTAAGTATCAAATTACAGATGTGCTGTCAACCCTGAGGACTAAGATGGAACGAGGCATTCGTTTCCAGTAAAAAGGGGTTCCGGTTCTATAACCCATACAAAACACAGCAGCATTGAGCCGCTCTTTTACGCCAGGGTATATCGCCATTTATCGAAGGCCAAGGTTTTTCAGATCTATCCAATAGTTACTTCTTACGGTTCTCACGGGACAAAATAAGGTGATTGGTTGATGAACTATATCTATGAAGTATACGCGTAATATAAAGTGAGAAAATACCAAAGCAGCTACAGCTTGAACATATTGTTCTTTCTTCTCTATTGGTCCGTTAAGGTGCACTGGTGGACATGGACTTCTCTCGTTTGCAGGGAGGAGCAGGAGGATTAAAGATCTCAGTAGCAGACATGAGCACCATTGACATTGTCACGTCATTGGTTACCACGTAGTATCTATCGGAAGCAATAAGATATCTTTATTACATCGTAGAACCATGTCGCAGCTATGTTATGGTTGTAGAAAGAATGGGTCGGCTCGGCTGAGGTAGGACCACACTCTCACAGAATACCGGCGTGAAATAGCAGCTTAATATTGCTGTGTTTTGTATGGTGAGTGTAGAGATCCTGAAACCCTTTATACTGGATATGAGAAATTACATGTTAGTGCTCAGGGCTGACAACGCATCTGAATTTTGAATCTTAATCGTTGGTAAAGGTAGATGTCTATGGTTCACAGTGTCCATTTACTATCAGATGGACTGTGTGTTCGTTTGTCACGCTTACTCTATAAAAACTTTATATCTATACATATACATACATACATACATACAAATAAATAAAATTGTAAGTGGCTGTTTGTGATGTCAAAATAACAGCTTTTCATTAAATGCATATGAAAGTATATACGGTACTTATAACAAAAACACAATTTTTAAAAGTTTTGTCTGTCTGTCTGTCTGTTTGTTTGTACTGGGTAATCTCCAAAATGGCTGGACCGCTTTTGATGGGACTTTCACTGGCAGATAGCTGATGTTATAAGTCGTAAGGATGTAATAATTTCCGCGCAAAAAAAAAACCCTAAGTTACACGCGGGTGAAGTCGCGGGGGAGCAGCTAGTTAATATAAAAAAAATTATCTCTTTGCAGTGCACTTGACAACTTAAGTGTAGGTTAATTATGGACTATCTTTAAAAGGCTTCTTCTACTTTCAAGACTTTTATTTACATAACTTCCGCCATTGAGCCGTCATCAAGTTACTCTGTGAACCAGTTCCGAGATCATTTCACAGAAACAGCCTCCTTCCGGAAATGGATCAAGGACACCCCTGTTATTTGCCTGTCGTGGGAGAATATTTTTGAGTTTTTAATGGATTACAAAATTGTTTTTAAATACTTATGTAACTTAGTAGAGTTAAATAAAAATAAATATGAATGGATATAATTTTGAAATTTCGTAATTATGTCGAGATTTTATGGTTCATCGTGATTATAT